AAGACGCATCTTAATATTACTCGCCAACAAATCCAGGTGTTACTGAATGATAAATACTTTAGACAATCAGGTTGATGAGCCATATCAGTAACATCAGGCTTCTAATTAGAGCCCGTAGCAGATTTTATATTGCCTTTGTTCACGGAACCTAGAAATTCTTTTTTCATGGTCAGACTGCTATCACACAATACAAGTCCGAAGAGCTACTAAACTTAGACGGTTACTGGGCAAGATTGTTGTAAGGGTGAGTGAAGAAGGAATTAAACAATGCAATAAGGATATGTTGGATAGATCTGCCCATCCAATTCATTCCTCTCTACATGCAGTAGTTATAACTAAAAAAAAAATAAAATAAAAATAGCAGGAATATGAATCTTCCTTTTGCAAATTAATCATTCATTTCTTTTAAATTTTTATAAATAAACAGCATTGCGTGGATTTTAGATGTCAGGGAAACATCCCCGCAGAAGTACGTGTTCCACAAAGCAACAGTAATGGGAACGAAGCTGTCTGTGTGGAACTTATTAAGAGGGCATAAAATAAATAGGGATTGTTTTCCACCGTGATCGTAACAGAGTGAGTCCTACCTGTGAAGATCTAAGCCAGTGGAACTAAAAAATATAATTAGTACGAACATCTGCCGCGTTCATAGCGACATAGCTATAAGAAGCTAGCAACGTTTCGTCTGTGAGAATAATAATCCATCATCCAAAAGGCAAGTAAACGCTTTTGAACTCTTCTCTATGTTGCACAGTGTGAATTGTGCAGCAGCATCCCACTAATACTCCATTCTTAGTTTGGACTGACTATTTTAAAGACAGAGTATGGCAGCAGGAGTTTGGTATTTTTCTTGAACAATACAAGGAACCGACCATTCTTCCCAGTGTCATTTGCGATGGCACTATGCAGAAACGTCTAAGCCTATATTTAATAGATTATATTCAAGAATTTGATAGAATTCATTTTTACTGGATGTCGTAGTGAATGGACTATTTCTTCATTGCTCCAAGAAAGCGATGTCTTCTTTGTTTTAGAAAGAAAATGATGATTATTTTATATTTATACATTTTTCTTATACTGTTTATTGTTTATTAAATAATTATATTTTTTAATATTATTATATATTTACTTAGAGGCGACAGTCTGTTTCATGCTATATGCAATCTGACGATTGCATCTAGAATGAAACAGATTGTCGCCTCTAAGTTTTGACTTCTATGTTCACTTTTATATTTACACACGCTCTATCTCTGATACTGAGCACTTTATCCTATAAATATAGCACATCTTAAGACTATATTTCTTCATATATATATATATATATATATATATATATTATTTGTAATATAAGCTGTGGCATAAATAGATTGTTTTCTTTTTCAAATAACTCTTATTTAACGTGTTTACATTATTACGATTATTTAATACACTATTAATAAGAATTATTATATTATTACAAGTGTAACCTCACACCCGGCCACGGCAAACAAATGTAATCGTCAGAGGCAATCCTTGGTCGCCGTGACCAAAATGTAATCGTGCAACATCCTAGCCGGTCATCCAAGACTTCCAGCACCTCGGCTGGTTGCTGAAGAGCTAACCTTATCACACATTGTGATTTTTAGATCAAAAGTAGGCCAAGATCAAATCGTGACAGGTATCTTCCTACTGACCTGGTCCAAGCAAGGCGATGACTTACAGAGAGAAAAAAATAAAAATCAAATAATTTGAACAAAATAAATACTGTTTTTATATAATTCTCAGTACATTAATTGGTTTATATCACAGTTTGCATGCTTATCAACCCAGCCCGCACCTAAATTGAAAGTGATACTTGTTATACATCATGACGGTCGTCTTCGAGTATAGAATCCACAGGTTAGCAGTGAATATTTCGAAGACAGTAGGAAAGCGTTGTTCAGGTTGTTATACATCATGACGGTCGTCTTCGAGTATAGAATCCAGAGGTTAGCAGTGAATATTTCGAAGAAAGTAGGAAAGCGTTGTTCAGGTTGTTATACATCATGACGGTCGTCTTCGTGTATAGAATCCAGAGGTTAGAATCCAGAGGTTAGCAGTAGAATATTTCGAAGAAAGTAGGAAAGCGTTGTTCAGTTTGTTATACATCATGACGGGTCTTCGAGTATAGAATCCAGAGGTTAGCAGTGAATATTTCAGTTTGTGACGGTCGTCTTAGTAGAATCCAGAGGTTAGCACTGAATATTTCGAAGACAGTAGGAAAGCGTTGTTCAGCTTGTTATACATCATGACGGTCGTCTTCGAGTATAGAATCCAGAGGTTAGCAGTGAATATTTCGAAGACAGTAGGAAAGCGTTGTTCAGTTTGTTATACATCATGACGGTCGTCTTCGGAGTATAGAATCCAGAGGTTAGTTATACATCACGGTCGTCTTGAATATTTCGAAGACAGTAGGAAAGTTGTGACGGTCGTTCAGAATCAGAGGTTTGAATATTTAGTAGGAAAGCGTTGTTCAGGTTGTTATACATCATGACGGTCGTCTTCGAGTATAGAATCCAGAGGTTAGCAGTGAATATTTCGAAGACAGTAGGAAAGCGTTGTTCAGTTTGTTATACATCATGACGGTCGTCTTCGAGTATAGAATCCAGAGGTTAGCACTGAATATTTCGAAGACAGTAGGAAAGCGTTGTTCAGTTTGTTATACATCATGAATAGAATCCAGGAGGAATATTTCGAAGACAGTAGGAAACGTTATTCAGCTTATGAATGATCTTCGAGTATAGAACAGTGAATATTTCGAAGACAGAGGAAAGCGTTGTTCAGGTTGTTATACATCGTGACGGTCGTCTTCGGTCGTCTCGAAGACAGTAGGAAAGTTTTAGAATCCGGTCGAGGTTAGCACTGAATATTTCGAAGACAGTAGGAAAGCGTTGTTCAGTTTTGTTATACATCATGACGGTCGTCTTCAGTTTAGAATCAGGTTAGCACTGAATATTTCGAAGCGTTGTTCAGTTTGTTATACATCATGACGGTCGTCTTCAGTTTAGATCAGAGGTTAGCACTGAATATTTCGAAGACAGTAGGAAAGCGTTGTTCAGTTTGTTATACATCATGACGGTCGTCTTCGAGTATAGAATCCAGAGGTTAGCACTGAATATTTCGAAGACAGTAGGAAAGCGTTGTTCAGGTTGTTATACATCACGGTCGTCTTCAGTATAGAACGGTCGAATCTTCGAGTAGGAAAGCGTTGTTCAGGATCCAGAGAGTTTTAGCAGTGAATATTTCGAAGACAGTAGGAAAGCGTTGTTCAGTTTGTTATACATCATGACGGTCGTCTTCGAGTATAGAATCCAGAGGTTAGCGGTGAATATTTCTGGAAGTAGGAAAGCGTTGTTCAGGTTGTTATACATCATGACGGTCGTCTTCGAGTATAGAATCAGAGGTTAGCACTGAATATTTCGAAGACAGTAGGAACGTTGTTCAGTTTGTTATACATCATGACGGTCGTTGTTCAGGTTGTGAATATTTAGTAGGAAAATTCAGGTTGACGGTCGTCTTCGAGTATAGAATCCAGAGGTTAGCAGTGAATATTTCGAAGACAGTAGGAAAGTCTTCGTTGTTCAGGTTAGCAGTGAATATTTTAGCGTTGTTACATCATGACGGTCGTCTTCGAGTTTAGAATCCAGAGGTTAGCAGTGAATATTTCGAAGAAAGTAGGAGCGTTGTTCAGGTTGTTATACATCACGGTCGTCTTCGAATAGAATCCAGAGGTTAGCACTGAATATTTCGAAGACAGTAGGAAAGCGTTGTTCAGTTTGTTATACATCATGACGGTCGTCTTCGAGTATAGAATCAGAGGAGAATATTTCGAAGACGGTAGGAAGCGTTGTTCATTTCATGACGGTCGTCTTCGAGTATAGAATCCAGAAGACAGTAGGAAAGCGTTATTCCATCATGACGGTCGTCTTCAGAATAGGTTAGCAGTGAATATTTCGAAGACAGTTTGTTATACATCATGACGGTCGTCTTCGAGTATAGAATCAGAGGAATATTTAGACAGTAGGAAAGCGTTGTTCAGTTTGAATATTTCAGTATAGAAGACACTCGAATATTTCGAAGACAGTAGGAAAGCGTTGTTCAGTTTGTTATACATCATGACGGTCGTCTTCGATATAGTATAGAATATAGAATTCGAAGAGAGTTTCAGGTTGTTGAATACGGTCGTCTTCGAGAAGACAGTTAGGGAAAGCGTTGTTCAGTTTGTTATACATCATGACGGTCGTCTTCGAGTATAGAATCCAGAGGTTATACATCATGACTGAATAGCGTTTTCAGGAAGACATCATGACGGTCGTTGTTCAGGTTCGAAGACCAGTTTGTTATACATCATGACGGTCGTCTTTCAGTATAGAATAGTAGCGTTGTTCAGAGTATAGAATATCAGAGGTTTCTGAATATTTCGAAGACAGTAGGAAAGCGTTGTTCAGTTTGTTATACATCATGACGGTCGTCTTCAGTATAGAATCAGAGGAGCAGTGAATATTTCGAAGACAGAGGTTGTTATACATCATGACGGTCGTCAGAGGTTAGTAGATATTTCGAAGACAGTAGGGAAAGCGTTGTTCGGGTTGTTATACATCATGACGGTCGTCTGAATATTTTTCGAAGACAGTAGGAAAGCGTTGTTCAGGTTGTTATACATCATGACGGTCGTCTTCGAGCATAGAATCAGAGAATATTTTAGCAGTTGAATATTTCGAAGACAGTAGGAAAGCGTTGTTCAGCTTGTTATACATCATGACGGTCGTCTTCGAGTATAGTATCCAGAGAGGTTAGCAGTGAATATTTCAGTAGGAAAGCGTTGTTCAGTTTATTTATACATCATGACGGTCGTCTTCGGTATAGTATCGTGAATATTTCGAAGACAGTAGGAAAAGCGTTGTTCGGTTGTTATACATCATGACGGTCGTCTTTTAGAATCCAGAGGTTATGCAGTAGGAATGTTCAGCTTGTTATACATCATGACGGTTCTTCGGTATAGAAGACAGTAGGAAACGTTGTTGCTCATGGTCGTCTTCGTTAGTTCAGCTTGTTATACATCATGACGGTCGTCTTCGAGTATAGTATCCAGAGGTTAGCAGTGAATATTTCGAAGACAGTAGGAAAGCGTTGTTCAGCTTGTTATACATCATGACGGTCGTCTTCGAGTATAGTATCCAGAGGTTAGCAGTGAATATTTCGAAGACAGTAGGAAAGCGTTGTTCAGTTTGTTATACATCATGACGGTCGTCTTCGAGTATAGAATCCAGAGGTTAGCACTGAATATTTCGAAGACAGTAGGAAAGCGTTGTTCAGGTTGTTATACATCATGACGGTCGTCTTCGAGTATAGTATCAGAGGTTATTTTATTATACATCACGGTCGTCTTGAATATTTCGAAGACAGTAGGAAAGCGTTGTTCAGGTTGTTATACATCATGATGACGGTCGTTCTTCAGGTTGTTATACATCATGACGGTCGTCTTAGTATCCAGAGGTTAGCAGTGAATATTTCGAAGACAGTAGGAAAGCGTTGTTCAGGTTGTTATATATCATTGTCTTTATAGAATCACAGGTTAACAGTGAATATTTCGAAGAAAGTAGGAAAGCGTTGTTCAGTTTGTTATACATCATGACGGTCGTCTTCGTATAGAATATAGAATATCCAGAGGTTAGCAGAATATTTCGAAGACAGCGTTGTTCAGTTGAAACGGTCGTCTTTGTTCAGCTTATGAATATTTACAGTCAGCTTGTTATGACGGTCGTCTTCAGTATAGAATCAGAGGTTAGCGATGAATATTTCGAAGACAGTAGGAAAGCGTTGTTCAGTTCGTTGTATCATCATGACGGTTATAGAATCCAGAGGTTAGCAGTGAATATTTCGAAGACAGTAGGAAAGCGTTCGTCTTCAGGTTGTTAGCAGTGGAATATTTCGAAGACATGACGGTGACGGTCGTCTTCGAGTTTAGAATCAGAGAGTTAGTGAATATTTCGAAGACGGTAGGAAAGCGTTGTTCAGGTTATACATAACGGTCGTCTTCAGTATAGAAGGTTAGCACTGAATATTTCGAAGACAGTAGGAAAGTTCGTTGTTCAGTCTTGTTATATATCGTGACGGTCGTCTTCGTGTATAGAATTCAGAGGTTAGCAGTGAATATTTCGAAGACAGTAGGAAAGCGTTGTTCAGTTTGTTATACATCATGACGGTCGTCTTCAGTATAGAATCAGAGGTTAGCACTGAATATGACGGTCGTTTCGAAGACAGAATAGGAAAGAAAGCGTTGTTCAGGTTGTTATATATCATGACGGTCGTCTTCGAGTTTAGAATCAGAGGTTAGCAGTGAATATTTCGAAGACAGTAGGAAAGCGTTGTTCAGTTTGTTATATCACGGTCGTCTTCAGTATAGTATGCAGGGGTTAGCAGTGAATATTTCGAAGACAGTAGGAAGCGTTGTTTGTTCAGTTTGTTATACATCATGACGGTCGTATAGAATCCAGAGGTTAAGTGAATATTTCCGAAGACAGTGGGAAAGCGTTGTTGAATATCATGACGGTTCTTCAGTATAGAATCCAGAGGTTAGCACTGAATATTTCGAAGACAGTAGGAAAGCGTTGTTCAGTTTGTTATACATCATGACGGTCGAGTATAGAATCAGAGGTTAGCACTGAATATTTCGAAGACAGTAGGAAAGCGTTGTTCAGTATAGTTGTTATATATCATGACGGTCGTCTTCGAGTATAGTATCCAGAGGTTAGTGAATATTTCGAAGACAGTAGGAAAGCGTTGTTCAGGTTGAATCGCGACGGTTCTTCGAGTTTAGAAGGACAGAATATTTAGGAAAGCGTTGTTCAGTAGGAAAAGCGTTATTTTGTTATACATCATGACGGTCGTCTTCAGTATAGTATCTAGAGGTTAGCAGTGAATATTTCGAAGGTCGTTGTTCTTCGACGGTCGTAGAGTTTAGAATCCACAGGTTAACAGTGAATATTTCGAAGAAAGTAGGAAAGTTCAGGTTGTTCATGACGGTCGTCTTACATCATGACGGTGACCGGTCGTCTTCGAGTATAGAATCAGAGGTTAGCAGTGAATATTTCGAAGAAGAGCGTTGTTAGGAAAGCGGTTGTTCAGGTATTTGTAGGAAAGCGTTATTCAGTTGTTATACATCATGACGGTCGTCTTCGAGTATAGAATCCACAGGTTAGCGGTGAATATTTTCGAAGACAGTAGGAAAGGTTAGCAGTGAATATTTCGAAGACGTAGGAAAGCGTTGTTCAGCTTGTTATGTGACGGTCGTCTTCAGTATAGAATCAGAGAGTTAGCACTGAATATTTCAAAGACAGTTGTTATAGGGTTAGCAGTGAATGACGGTCGTCTTCGGTTGTTAGAATCATGACGGTCGAGGTTAGAATCCACAGGTTAAGTGAATATTTCGAAGAAAAGGAAGAGCGTTGTTCAGGTTGTTATAGGAAATCCAGAGGCGCAGTGAATATTTCGAAGACAGTAGGAAAGCGTTGTTCAGGTTGTTATACATCATGACGGTCGTCTTCGAGTATAGAATCCAGAGGTTAGCAGTGAATATTTCGAAGACAGTAGGAAAGCGTTGTTCAGGTTGTTATACATCATGACGGTCGTCTTCGAGTATAGAATCCAGAGGTTAGCAGTGAATATTTCGAAGACAGTAGGAAAGCGTTGTTCAGGTTAGCAGTCGATATTTCGATAAAAGTAGCAGAGCATAGTTCGTCCTTCTGGTTGTCTTCGCCTGACAAGCTGGACTGGACATTCGGGTAGAGTAAACAAAATGGCCGCTATTATACACGACGGATTGAATGTTCTACGTCTTCTGATTGGTTAACCTTCTATTGGTAGACTATAAATCGAGTCGAGACATTTGGAATAACTCACTAGTTATATATCTATATACATATACACAAAAAACTGTAACAATACTAAGCTCGACCTGGCAAATAATCTGGTTTGCTGTTGTTGTTAAAGTTTGGCACAAGGCTTTTATCAGAGGTTTCTCTTCGGCAGATAATCACGTGGGCCTCTCTTCTCCCTCTGTATTTATGGACATCATTTTGGGGAATTCCCTTCTCCCAATCTCTCTCATATCATTGCCTCTCACTAAACCTCGTCAGTGAGCGTGGTTGGCTTATCCATCCCTCTCCCTCCCGTCTCGAATCAACTTTCAACAAGGAGAATCAACTCCAAATTCGTTGTTTATGAAAAGCAATTAACATCCTGCATTTACTAAATTATTTATTCATGGGCATGAATAAATGTATTTTATCTATATTTTAGCGAAGGATTTTTTTTATGAAAGAGAACGTATATTCGAATTTGTTAGAAGAAAACTTTCGTGTCGTAACGTTTCTTTCGTTTTGTTTATTTTTGACTAATGAATTTTGTATAGGCGATTTTCCCCCTATTATTATTATTAAAAAATTTTAACAACCACAATAATAAAACATGAGTAGATATGATTATTATCTGCTATTTATTTATCTATATTCATTTCATATCTATTGAATAATTTCTATTATTCATCGTTCAATTATTACATAATTATTGATAACAGTAAGAATAATTGGTGCATTTAATGACGATCTACTTATTTCGATGCCCAGTGTAAAATATATCTATATGTGGGCATGAGGGTGTATATGTGTGTATATGTATATTAAGTTTGGTCTTAATTTTGTACTTGATTAAGTGATCTAATTTTGTCAATATTCCTTTGATTTCAACTCCTGTGATAAGCTTTAGTGAGGTTTTGATTATTTGGTGATTCCCCCTAGACCTGGAATCGGTGTAGAGCCTTATTCACCAATTTTTTTAAAAAAGCGCCCAGCTGTGAACGTGGTAATAGAATTAGATTAGTTTGCATATCGCACGGACAGTGCTTCTTCTGTGTTTATTGAACAGGAGGAGAAGTTTATCTGCTGTTTGCTGTTTAGGATGTGGTTAACAGATTCCATTCTTTCGTGGCTTTTATGGTTTAACTGACTTAAATCTTTGGTTATCTGACAGATCAGGGGTTGCGATTTTACATTATCACGGTACCGGGTTAGCGGTTTGCTGTTTACTTGCGGGAGAGTTGTGGTAAGAAGCTCAAACTCTTTAGTATCACTTCGAGAGACAGTTCTGATCAACAGTTGCGTAATATCGGGGTATTTTCAGCATCACGTTGGGCATGAATTTCCAGTGGGCAACTCGGATGCCACATTATAATTTAGTCTTAGTCAGGTTGTATTACATAGACGATGGATAGTTGTTGTAACCTAGGGAAGGTTATTGAATAGAATAATCAAATGAAGTTTAGTAATGAACGATAATACTTAGGACAAGAACAACACATATAAGATTCGCCAGCGGCGCGAAGAAGTAACCAACTGCTAGAAGTGAGTCAAGTGAATGCCACAATGAATCTCCAAAAGCATTCCAATTCGAACTCTACTGAGTGATATGCCTATAACTTCGTCCAATGTTTCTGCTATCATCTCTAAACTGGATCCACTTAAACCAAGTGAACTTGATGATATCACTGCAACAGTTAATCATATAAAAGCTGGGTATCTAACCGTACTCTTTTTTTTAAAATAGATGAATTGAAATTAGTAAAACCTATCTATCTACCACAGTCTTCGTAGCTATCTCTATCTACTTGTCTGTCTGTCTATCTATCTATCTATCTATCTATCTATCTATCTATTATATTCTCTTCATATCTATCTATCTATCTATCTATCTATCTATCTATCTATCTATGTGTGTGTACGTGTGTTACAATCTCTTCCTATCTATCTATCTCTCTATCGATCTAAATGTGTGTGTTTGTGTGCGTGTGTATCTGTTACAATCTATCTATCTATCTATCTATCTATCTATCTATCTATCTATTATATACTCTTCGTATCTATCTATCTATCTATCTATCTATCTATCTATCTATCTATCTATCTATCTATATATATATATGTGTGTGTGTGTGTGTGTGTTTGTGTGTGTGTTTCACTCTATCTATCTATCTATCTATCATATTCTCTTCGTATCTATCTATCTATCTATGTGTGTGTGTTTGTGTGTGTTTCAATCTATCTATCTATCTATCTATCTATGTGTGTGTTTGTGTGTGTGTTTCAATCTATCTATCTATCTATGTGTGTGTGTACGTGTGTTACAATCTCTTCCTATCTATCTATCTATCTATCTATCTATCTATCTATCTATCTATCTATCTATCTATCTATCTATCTATTATATTCTCTTCGTATCTATCTATCTATCTATCTATCTATCTATAAACCCGACGAGCGGGTTCGAATAACGTGAGCTCGATCTATACGCCAGTCAGTCAATATCTATTTCAGAGATATTTGCCTTTAGACTCGAAAGGACATCAAAAGTGAAATGAATTAATAGTTAATTAGTAGATGAATAACTATTGTGACGTTATCCTTTTATAATCAAAGAATCTCAAACTTTTCGCTCATCTGTCGTAACTTTCTTGAATCTAAGAACCGCCATTCTTTAATCAATTCTTTCAAAGTTATTAGTTTCTGAGACTTCTTTTCATCATAAAACGATTGATCTGTTCGTCTGTTAGGTTCGCCGTCACGTATGTCGAAAGATCCTCACTGGGTGCCCTGCTAGTGTGCGGCCATGTACAGAAGACTGATTAGCTTAGTAAACTATCATAGATCTATTATATATTAAGTAGAAGTCTCGCTGATGATTAGTGTTTAGCAAGCTAGTACTTAAGTGAGGTGTATACTCACTGGACTTTACGAACTTGTAGCCTTGTATGGGAGTAGTAAACTCATTTGTTTCGTTCTTGCTCTTATCACAATTTTATTTATACTTTGTATTATTTTCACATATTGTATATTTCGCGCAACGTCCGACCCTCAAGTTGTCATTTATAAAAAAAAAGATTTTATCATGTGTCTCGTGTATCTTACGAGTTCCTTTTTTGAGAGACCAAATTACAATAGACTAACCTCTTTTCCTCTATCTCTTTATCCAATCTTTTAGTCAGATGAATTAAAAATGTAAAAGGGAATGATAAAAGTATCTTTAGTAACGTTATACCCGTTGCGTAAACGTGTACAGCCGTAAACAACCGAACGAGAAACAGCTAAACATCTTATAAACGAAGAGAACGGAAAAGCGTATTCACTAAGTTTGCATTTTATACTACGATGCTAATATGTAAATATCATATGTATTATTAGTGGATATAGTTAGATAAAACATTAGTTTAAAAAAAAATCATATTTACTTTAAATACAGTTGTACCATTTGCCTACAGTATATGGATATATAGATTAGCGTAGACAGGGCCAGCAGTACATACGCTAATTTTATATCGCGTTTAAGATACGACAACCTTAAAATTAGATGAAAAATTAGGTCTTTTGAAGCCGTATAATACGCGAGTATATGATCTATCTATCTATCTATCTATCTATCTATCTATCTATCTCAGTCTTCATATCTATCTATCTATTTATCTATCTCAGTCTTCATACCTATCTCAGTATGTTCATATCTATCTATCTATCTATCTATCTATCTATCTATCTATCTATCTATCTATCTATCTATCTATCTCAGTCTTTATATCTATCTGAGTCTGTTCATATCTATCTATCTATCTATCTATTTCAGTCTTCATATCTATCTCAGTCTGTTCATATCTATCTATCTATCTATCTATCTATCTATCTATCTATCTCAGTCTTCATATCTATCTCAGTCTGTTCATATCTATCTATCTATCTATCTATCTATCTCAGTCTTCATACCTATCTCAGTCTGTTCATATCTATCTATCTATATATCTATCTCAGTCTTCATACCTATCTCAGTCTGTTCATATCTATCTATCTATCTATCTATCTATCTATCTATCTATCTCAGTCTTCATACCTATCTATCTCAGTCTGTTCATATCTATCACTTGTTATGCGCGACGGTGTGCAAAAAAAAAAAAAGTTATGTCCTCCGCGTAGAGAGTTGGTTTCCTCGTCGTCACTGTTATGCTGTGACAAACGAATTTTTTTTTCTTCCACCGAATTAGTTCGAATCGCTGTCGCCACTGTTATTGTCCGGTTCCTTGTACCACGGTGATAGTCCAAGGTAGAACCAATAAAGAAGAACTTGAACACGGATATGGAATAACACAGATATATTACAAACAGTAATATATACAGAGAAGTAGAAGTGTTAGTATGAACAATCAGGTTTAGTAGTAATTGTCTGAACGCGACTCTGTTTCGGACTGCCTCTGACTCGACTGACTGACTCGCTCGCTCTGACTGACTGACAGACTCCTGACGGACTTCACTCCAGACTTCAGGTTGAACTCCCTGCTTCCTTTTGAGGCGCAGTATTTATTACGTATGGAATAGTCCATTATGTCATTATGGGTAAGGTCCCATAACACTATCTCAGTCTTCATACCCATCTATCTCAGTCTGTTCATATCTATCTATCTATCTATCTATCTATCTATCTATCTATCTCAGTCCTCATATCTGTCTATCTCAGTCTGTTCATATCTATCTATCTATCTATCTATCTATCTATCTATCTCAGATCTTCTTTCTATCTACCGTATATACTCGCGTATCATGCGACCTTTGAAGACCTAATTTTGAAACTAATTTCACTAGAGTAAATGGATATATAGTTTGGTCAACAGCGTAGCCAGGTCCAACAGTACATGCCCTAATTTTATATCTCGTGCATAATGCGCCCCCCTCTTAAAATTGCTTCAAATTTAGGTCTTCAAAAGTCGCATGATACATGGGTATATACGGTAAACACGTTCCTAGTTTCTGTGTGCGCGTGTCTCTCGTTTTCTTTCTTCTTGTCAGAAAGTCTCTCTTTCATGATGTCTTGTTTTTATCTCTTTCAATCTTACACTGGCCATCGCGTCCTCAATAGGATTCTTCAGTAAATTCTTGGTACTCTCGAGCCGCTTGCTGACTTTTTTTTTTATCAAATATATAATCCCGTCCATTGTTTCTGTAATCATCTTTAAACAGCTTTTACTTAAAGCATGTGAACGTAATGCCATAGATAATCATATGGACACTGCGTATTTAACGGTATAATCTTTTAAAAATTAGATGAGATGAAAACAGTAAAATCTATCTATCTATCTATCTATCTATCTATCTATCTATTACAGTCTTTCTCTCAAAGATGCCACGAATTTATTCGTCTAGAGAATTCATATCAGAGCAACTCGAAGTCCATATGTTGAGGGTGGAAATTTTTGAAAGCCTCTCCTTGGCTACTAACTCGATCTAGAGTCCATGGTCTCAATGTAAGTGTTGAATTTCTTCCTCTGGGCTTGCAGGAAGAAAATGGCTTGAAGTCGCTTCCCAGTACCTGAATTTAAGCGCGGTACTAGATTGGAAGTTAGGTTTCATCATTTTACACTTGAAAAGGCTTGATGTAACCGTAAGTTCTATGCTAACAGTTTTTTCTGTCGCACATCTCGCTTGAGAAACTCCCTTCCGGCTACTTGCTTTCCAATCAAATTTGATCTAGATATGATAGAGATATAGATGGGAAGGGGAGAGGGAAAGAGAGAGTGGGAGAAGGAATGAAGGGAAAGAGGGAATTAAGTATAGTAGACAGGGTGAGCCAGATGTCTATCTCTCTTATTCTCCCCCCCCCAAAAAAACCCTTATATTTTGAAATTCTTGCCTTTTTTTTCTTTCTCCCTTTTAACGTTATTATTTTGCTTTTTCTTTTTCTCTCCCTTTTACCTTTTCATTGTGACTGAATAAATTGAACTCCATTTATTAGTAAAAAACTGGTCTGAAGAGATGAGTGTGTGGTCAATGAAATAAATTTGTTACCCGAACTGATGGATTTTTAAGCATTCTGTATTCATTATTATATTGTTCCGCTCTTCCACTGAGCTTTCTGTGGATTTATATCTGCCTTGAAATTATACCTACTTTTTTTTTTTAAAAACGTTTCATCCCAAGCAAGGCGGGAATCCACTAACACGCAAGGGGTTACAGAGAGTTGGAGTTAGAGCAAATAGGAATGATAGAGGAAAGGATGAAGAGAAGGATAGGGGATAGATCAGGGCATCTGGAGACGTCGATTGACATTACATTTGAATAGGTGGAGATTATAGCTACCAGGGAAACAGGAAAGGAGGAGGGAGTTCCACGGGTGAGAAGTGGGAGACATGAAGCTATTGGAGACGGCTACAGTTTCGACAGTGAAAGGGTGTGAACGAGATGCCAGCCTAGTAGAACACTTAAATTCATGAAGCAGTGAAAGCAGCTCTTCGGAACAGTTACCATGAAAGTATTTGTAAAAAAGACAGAGGAGGGGACGGTACGTCTATGAGAGTGGGACTGCAGACGAGATGCCAGATAAGGGCCAATTACATTGCATATCCGTCTCTGGATTTTATCAAGAACCTTGAGACAAACAGAAGGGGCACCGGGCCATATATGGCAGCAATACTCCATGCAAGGGCGTATATATATATATATATATATATATATATATATATATATATATATATATATATATATATATATATATATTAGGATTTTTGTTTGTTTTATCCGTATATATTTTTTCTATATATATATATATATATATATATATGAAAAAAACACACACACACACACACACACACACACTTACACATATATATATATATATATATATATATATATATATATAAACAGGGGGGAGAAAATAGACAATGTACAGCAATATAGACATAAAAATAGGCAGTGCATGGTGACTATTCATGTTTCAATGCGACCTTCAGCTCAAATGCCACTATTCCTTAAACTAAACAAAGGTATAAATTTCAACAAGATTACACACACACACACATATATATATATATACATATATATATAGATATATGATGTCGAAGTCATGGACATATATAAACTTATTCTATTTAAAAACACAATCACTCATTCATCATAAAAAGCAATCTCGATGACATGATCGTAAATAAGCGTCAGCATTAGTCTTAAACAAAAACTAATAAGGGACAGTTTTCTCTTCTCACAGTCTCTTTACACCCCTCGCGACTGACATACACAACCCGTTTTATATATATATATATATATATATATATATATAACCCGTGAAAAAACTAGTTTTTGCTTTTCTGTCGAATTTGTCTATATCTATGAATACTCTATGATATTGAGCACTCTTTGCCTGGAACTAAAACAAACTTCAACTCTCTCTCCCTCTCTCTCTCTCTCTCTCTCTCTCTCTCTATATATATATATATATATATATATATATATATATATATATATATGTAATCATTTCGCCCCAAGCAAGGTAGGGATGCCACTAGTACGCAGGAGGTTACAGAGAGTGAAGATGAGAGAAATGCCTGAGTATAGGGAGGATTGAAGAAAGGAAAAAAAGATGAACGGGATTCAAGAAGATAAAAGATGCCGATTGACATTGAATTTAAATTTTTGAAGATTGTATTTATCAGGGAAATAAGTAAAAGGGAGGGGGTTTCACAGATGGGAAGTGCTAGAAAAGATACTCTTGAAATAGAAATGGTCGTTGCATTTAGTTATTTCGACAGTAAAAGGATGGGACCTAAATCTAGTAGCACGCTTAAATTCATGTAGTCGAAGCACCTGGGGGAAAAAAAAGCTCGTCAGAGCAGTTGCCATGAAAATATTTGCAAAAAAGATAAAAGGAAGGCAAGTGACGTTGGAGAGAAAGTCGAGATGCTTGGCCAGGATCGATTGCATTATAGATCCTTCTTTCGATTTTGTCAAGAATAAGTTGGGATATTCAAGATGTCCAATGTTCCTATTTTACTAAGACCGACTGAGTAAATAAATATCATCCAATTTAATCTGGAATGGTTAATTGTAAAATCTCAGCCTGTATGTTGTCCTGTTGATTCTAAGGCTAAAGCATTAACAACATCGGTGTTACTAATGTGGTTTCTTTAACAAATAGGTTTTACCGGGGTGCAGTTGCTAGTCTCACTCCCAAATGAGTTTGATTTCAGTTCTCCTCCTCCTCCTAGATTAGTTACCAGCCAGCACTAGAGAGCACAGTCTGCTCTGCTATTTACCCTGATCATACATTCAAATTTTATTTGTGCAAAACCGATATATATATATATATATATATATATATATATATATATATATATATATATATATATATATATATATAGGGTGTATCAAAAATACTTTTACAAACATGGGGGTCCTCACACAAAACAAGGATAAATGTCTAAATAAATATATATATATATCAGCAAATCCTTCGATATATTAATTGTTTACATTATTTACATTGTTTGCCAGAAACGTCGTGAATATGGCATTAACAATGAGGGCAAAGGTCCGAACAATGTAAATAATGTAAATAATTACAATACGTCATCTCAGAAATATAGACAGAAGTTAAAGGTGAATATGGCTATAAAGATGAGGACAGCAGTCTGAACAATGTAAATAATGTAAATAATTTCAATACCTCATCTCAGTAATATAGAGAGATCCTGAAGAAGGCCATAGCGTTCAGTGGCGGAAACGTCGTGAATATGGCAATAAAAACGAGGACAGCAGTCCGAAGAATGCAAATTTTTAAATAATTACAATAACTCATCTCAGAAATATAGAGAGATCCTGAAGAAGGCCGGAGTGTACAATGGCCGAAACGTCATGAATACATCAATAAAAATGAGGACAGCAGTCCGAACAATGTAAATAATGTAAATAATTACAATACCTCATCTCAGAAATATAGAGAGATATAGAGTTATTAATTTAATCCTGAAGAATATATTCTTCGTGGTCAGGCGTACGAGAGGATCTCGCTCTTCCTTGATTCATAGTTTTTGGTGCCATGGATCTTGTCTCAGCAACGCGACGATAAACAACAGTAAAGTTGGATAGTAGGCTGCTTTCGCTCTAAAAATGCAATCTGATACAGTCTTGTATTCATTACCATTCACGCGGCTGTATGCAAAAATCATATTTGTCTTCTCACGGTATGAATATCCTGTCATTGTTAAACAAAGCAACCTCTTAGTTAACTCGCTACGACACACGTTAAATGCTGGAGACAAACTAGCCACAAATGTACATGAATAACAAATGTAACCCAGTCTATGTGGCAACACCGTCAATTTCTACCGTCAATTTCTTTGAACATTAATAACTCAAAAACTAAGGATTTACAGACATATGTTTATATGGAATTCGGTCATTATTTTGGTGTGAGGAATCTGCTCCCAATGCTTGCAGAAGTATTTTTGATACACCCTGTATATATGTATATATATATATATATATATATATATATATATATATATATATATATATATATGAAAGAAGGTATTATATTCACGGATATATCAACTATTCTAATATGTGCTACCTGAACGTGTTGATACTTTTTGAGCAACTTCCACTTGACGTAATTATCCAGTTGATAAACTCATTTACTGGGCTTCAGTTAGAGATTAGATGATGGAAGATTCATACTGCATGGGTAAGCTTTTAGCGGGATTCGCGCCAGCAGCCAGTCTCTCTCTCTCTCTTTCCTTCTCCCTCTCTCTATCTCTCTATATATATATATATGTGTGTGTGTGTGTGTGTGTATATAAAGGGTATTCATAAAGTTGGTGTGAATTTTAAAAAAATTATAACTTTATTTGTATTTGCGATAGAAATAATTTAAAAATGATTAGAAAGAAGTAAATCTATATTTTTTAAAGTTTTATTGAAATTTTATTTAAGTTTGCACATGTCCTCCATCATCAGCAATATAAAGGGTAATACGATTTTGCAGTTCCCGGAAAACATTTGCCGACTGATTTACAGTAATGCCTGAAATCACATTAGTTATTTTAGCTATACTTAAAACTAGGTACATTAAACTTTGTAACATTTTTTACAGATTATTTCTATCGCAAATACAAATAAAGTTATTAATTTTTTAAAGTGCACACGAACTTTATGGACACGCTGTATATATACGAACACAAAGGATTTCATGTATATATATATATGTGTGTGCGTGTGTGTGAAGTACATTTTTCGTTATTACTTTTTATGAATTAGTTTTGGAAGATTTGTCCTTGTGTATCCTGATATTGCCATGTCTGATAAGTATCACAAACCAGTTACTTTTATCTTTCACGCTAGCGTTACACTAGAGATACTATCACGGTATTCATTTCATCATAGAGAATATATTGCAAATAAAAAAAAAACCGTATTTGAACACAATACCATATTTTTCTTTCTTTTTTTTTTTTTTTTGAGTAACGATGTTTCAATTAGAGCTAAGCGGGAAATTAGATTAAAGAATCTATTAATCAATACGTTCAACTAAAAAGAATACGTCACACCTATTTGCGACAACGTGCTGTAAGCTTGGATGTGCGGGTGGTGAAATGTATAATGGCTCAGGATTGTTAATCGGAGAGCCAAGTTCCAGTTTCCGTTGGGTTCGTATTCCCGTTAAGCAACGTCAAGACAGTTCACTACTTAGATGGGTGACCGCTTTGAAATACCAAGTGCTGTAAGCTTCGATGTCCACGTGGTGTAATGAATGTCTGTACGGAATTTCAAATTGGAGAAACTAGTTCTAATTCATGTTGGGTTCATTGTATCAACTTACTCGCAAATACCCTTAAGAAAAGCATGAATCCACCTCTTCTCCTACTCAGGTTAACTAGTAAGACCTTTATTACTGTTGAAGCTTGAATAAGCATGGAATAATAATAATACAACACAAAATGTACGTAACAAAATGTATTGAAACAATGAAAAAAGGTACACAATATTTACAGGTAGTTTTGGTATATTCTTGGGAAGACTGTTCCTGCAGAATGGGTTGACTAAGTCGCAGTCGGGCAGAGTCTCTGGATTCGATCTCTTAATCTTCCGTCGTCTTCCGGTACCAACCCATATTTATATGGTCGGTACTCCACTTATGTAAATTAGGTGTATCATACACAACAATTACTAAACCCCTTATTCTCTCCAAAAAAATTGAAAAATAGAATTGCCTATAAAATATTTAAATGTCACTAATTAACCCATGCCACCCAACAGAATCAACCAACCAATCAATCGACCTTTTTACGAGTGGAGAAATTTCATTGGTCAATTCGCCGAATTTATAAAGCAAAATTTAATTTTCTGTATTTATTTATCATTTTTTTAAATTATTTTTTCCTTTGATTCTTTTGTAGGTAATTCTTGCTCTGCGTAGAAAGCCATTCTCCGATTGACCACGCCCCATCATGGCCGAAGAGTTCCAGTAAGTTATCTACTAATTTATTAATCTTGGAATAACCTGAATGTAGAATGGTTTCTCTTTTTCTGACATTTTTCTCAATTTCCTTTCTTTGTTTTTCTTTTACACTGATTGCCCTTTACCGTAAGATGTATTATTAGCACCTGGAAATAATTTGATTCTTTCAAATTCTTTCAGTTTTTTATTTCATTCTTATCATTTTATTTGATAAAGTGCTGAGTGTTATGTGAACATTACGTTTTAAAATGTTTATTTCATTCATTCTTTTTCCGTCTTTCTTTCTTTTTTCTTTCTCTTTTTCTTTTTTCTTTCTTTCTTTCTTTCTTCCTTTCTTTCTTCCTTTCTTTCTTTCTTTCTTTCTTTCTTCCTTTCTTTCTTTCTTCCTTCCTTTCTTCCTTTCTTTCTTTCTTTCTTTCGAAACGCCCTTCATCTTTTTTTCTTTTCTTTCTTTCAAAAGGCCCTGTCATATTTCTGTTTTTTATTTCTTTCGAAACGCTGTTACTTCTTTCTTTCTTTCTTTCTTTCTTTTTTCTTTCTTTCTTTCTTTCTTTCTTTCTTTCTTTTGAAAAGCCATTTCGTCTTTCCTTCGAAAGACACTTTCATTTTTCTTTTTCTTTCGAAATGCCCTTTCTTTCTTTCTTTCTTTCGTTCTTTCTTTCTTTCTTTCTTTCTTTCTTTTGAAAATGCCTTTCGTCTTTCTTTTTTTCTTTTGCAAAGCACTTTCGTTTGCCTTTTTTTTCCCTTCTGAAATGCCCCCTCATCTTTCTTTCTTTTGAAAATCCCTTTTGTCCTTATTTCTTTCTGTCTTTCTTTTGAAAATTCCTTTCCTCTTTCATTCTGTTTTTCATTTATTCTTTCTTTCTTTTTCTTTCTTTCTTTCTTTCTTTTTTCTTTCTTTCTTTCTTTCTTTCTTTCTTTCTTTTGAAAAGCCTTTTCACATTTTTTTCTTCTGCATCGGCTTTTCGCCTTTCTTTCTGTTTTTCTTTCTTTCGAAACGCTCTTTCATTTTTCTTTTTCTTTCTTTCTTTCTTTCTTTCTTTCGAAAAGCCCTTTCATCTTTATTCTTCTTTCTTTCTTTCGAAACGCCATTTACCATTTCTTTCTTTTTTTTTCTTTTGAAACGCCTTTTCATCTTAATTTTTCTTTCTTTCTTTCGAAACGCCATTTGCCCTTTCCTTTTTCCTTTCTTTTGAAAAGCCCTGTTGTCTTTCTTCCTTGCTTTCTTTCCAGTGAATATTTCGTTTTCCCTCTCTTTCCTATGTTTCACTTATTTTTCTTACTTTTGTTTTCATTCTCTTTCTTTCTTAAGAATAAAATATTGAAATAAAACGTTCAAACTTCTCTCTAATCTTATTTGAAGCTTATTGCATTCACATAAATTTCAAGCCCACTTCTTTTTTATTCCTGCCAACTATTGAAACACGAAATTTGCATTACCCACAACATAAATAAATTCATGAACATAGGTTTGTTTTTGCGATTGGATCATGGATATTATGCCATGCGATTTCGAAATATTTGGGGAGAATATTTTCTGTCGTATTCCACCTGTCATTTAAACTGAAGCATAATTGGATTTCTTATAAATCATGGATTTATGGAACCGAATTAATTCATGAAAGTTAATGTTTCGTAATTTCTATTTGGGGAATTCTTGAAAGAACACCTGACTTTGTTCAGTTTTTCAAGAGTTGTCTTTTTCAGTTGATTACTCGTATTTTTCTTGATATTCCTTCAGCAGAGTTTGGCATAAAAGATCAATGAGTTTTTTAAAACAGTCTTCGAATTGTTAAGAGTCTATTTGAAAAACGCCATTAAAATGCTGGCCTTTATATCTGGGTTCGAACACTCACCACAAATGCGATCGTTTACCCTTTTACTCACAAGATTGGTTATTTATATGATTATTTATTTCGCTTAGGTTAGGAATGTCAAACCTCGAAGTGGGGGAAGAGCATTCGAACTCATAGCTTTTAACCTGGGTTCGAACATAGTTAATTGGCACAAATAGGGGTAACGGAATGATCTCAATCCTCAAGCATATATCCTTTTTAAAAGCAATTAAATTTTAAAATGCTTATTTCATTCATTCTTTTTCCGTCTTTCTTTCTTTTGAAAAGCCCTTTCGTCTTTCGAAAGATTCTTTCATCTTTCTTTTTATTTCTTTCGAAATGCCCTTTCTTCTTTCTTTCTTTCTTTCTTTCTTACTTTTGAAAAGCCCTTTTGTCTTTCTTTCTTTCTTTCTTTCTTTCTTTTGAAAAGCCCTTTCGTTTTTCTTTCTTGTTTTTGAAAAATCCCTTTCTTTCTTTCTTTTTCTTTCTTTCTATCTTTCTTTCTTTCTTTCTTTTAAATATTCCTTTCGTCTTTCTTTCTGTTTTTCTTTCGAAACACCCTTTCATCTTTTTTCTTTCTTTCTTTCTTTCTTTCTTTCTTTCTTTCTTTTGAAAAGCCCTTTCGTTTTTCTTTTTTTTTTCAAAAACTCTTTCTTTCTTTCTTTCTTTTAAATATTCCTTTCGTCTTTCTTTCTGTTTTTCTTTCTTTGTTTCGAAACAACCTTTCATCTTTTTTTCTTTCTTTCTTTCTTTCTTTCTTTCTTTCTTTCTTTCTTTCTTTCTTTCTTTCTTTCTTTCTTTTGAAAAGCCCTTTCGTTTTTCTTTCTTTTTTTTGAAAAACACTTTCTTTCTTTCTTTCTTTCTTTCTTTCTTTCTTTCTTTCTATCTATCTATCTTTCTTCCTTTTAAATATTCCTTTCGTCTTTCTTTCTGTTTTTCTTTCTTTGTTTCGAAACACCCTTTCATCTTTTTCTTTCTTTCTTTCTTTCTTTCTTTCTTTTGAAAATCCCTTTCGTTTTTCTTTCTTTTTTTTGAAAAACACTTTCTTTCTTTCTTTCTTTCTATCTATCTTTCTTTCTTCCTTTTAAATATTCTATTCGTCTTTCTTTCTGTTTTTCTTTCTTTGTTTCGAAACACCCTTTCATCTTCTTTCTTTCTTTCTTTCTTTCTTTATTTTGAAAAGCACTTTTGTCTTTCTTTCTTTCTTTTGAAAAGCCCTTTCGTTTTTCTTTCTTTTTTTGAAAATCCTTTTCTTTCTTTCTTTGTTTCTTTGTTTCTTTGTTTCTTTCTTTGTTTCTTTCTTTCTTTCTTTCTTTCTTTCGTTTACGTGATTTTTCTTTCTTTTTTAATTTGATTTTTTCACTCAGTTTGCATTTCTTCTACTTTACTTCCATTCTTTTCCCATTCTATTTTTCTTTCCCTTTTTCATTATTTCTTTTTCTTTCTTTTCCTTTGGGTTTTAGTATGGTGATTTTCTAGGCGTAATTTAGTTACGGCACAATGCCTAAATTGTGGAGCATCCAGTAAGGATCGAACTCACTACCCAGTCGTAATTGATTGGCTTGGTGTGGTTTATTTTGTTTTACGGCATATCAAACGTAATGAGTTACTTAATGCCGACAAGATTTTTAGGATAGGTTTATATAAATAGAATATGTATTCTTTTTAAGAAATCAGTTTCTAGATCAGGTTTCATTGATATATTTTTGTAAATGTTTTTTTTTTTTTCGAGTCAAATGTATTGCTGGTATTTTTAAAAATATATAACTGGCAAAAATATATTGGTGGTAATAGTTTTTTTTTTTTTTTTTTTTCAGAAATGTATTGCGGGTGATATTTTTTCAATGTAATGCTATAATTTAAAAAGTATGTATTGCTGGTATTTTTACTATTAGAATTTATTTTTATACTTTCATAGTTTTTTTTATCCCAGTTTCAAGGTTCACTATTTGCCCATAGCTAGGACCCTAACAGGTGCTAACACCCTGGGTGAGGATGGAACTGTGAACAACAGCAATTAAGAGTTGGTTCCACGCTTCTCAGAACCTCCCGATTAGAGAGCTGCCGGATGTAGTTTAGCGTCATACCGAGGTCACTCGTAATTGATCTAGCGTAGATTAAATGTGATACAAGGCCGAAAGTATAGAGCAGCCAGTGAAGATCGAACACACTACGATTACTATGATTGCTTGAATAGTTGTGACAAAAAGCCAAGAAAAATTAAAATAAATAATTCTTTTTTTTATGTGTCGTATTATAGAATCGTCAATGTTTGTCTACTCACCCCCGTTAAAAATAGACTCTTCTATAAGAATTAGCTTTGACCAATCAACACCACACATTGTGAAACTCGGTTTGTTATTGGTCGAGACGACCCTAGAATGTGTATCCATGGTCAAAAATCTGTTTTCCCGCCAGGTCACTGGGAGCCTACTTTGGTTTCCTAAATCAAATAAAAGGACGAATTTCAGTCCAATTCACCAGTCAGATCTACATTCCTAGAGACTGACCTACGCAAGTCAAAACTCTGACCAACCAGGACTTTGCCGCGCAAAATATCTGACTCAACAATCCGCAAACACACTCTATCTCTCTCAAGAACATCACTTACAATACTTTGAAAAGTGACATTTTCTTCTCACTACTTAATAAGTATTAGTAAACAAACAATCAAATTCTCACACAACTAAAGGTACGCAACTCCTACCAATTATACAAACATACTTACGGACACATACTAATAACTGAACTAGCACAAAGGACAATTTAGTACGTAACTGGACACTTAGTTTAATTCTGTGAACAAATCTGAATAGCAATTGCAAACACCTTCAAACATTCACAATAATATTCTACACAGCCAAATACACCTATTTTCATTTGTCCATTTAAGTTCAACTCAGTTTTTATCTCAAAATTGTATATTAATTGTACATAAATGTATTTTGTTCTATTGAAATCTGATAATCGGTGTTCTTTACTCACTTGCCTGTTGACTGATTCGTTTTTTATGAATGTCTATCTATATTGTTGCGGATAAATATTTTGAACATGCCCGTAAACTAACCATCTAAAAATAAAAAAACCTTCTGGTACCAAATTCAAACTCCTAGCAATCCCAACAGTATCTATACATGATGTAGGCGATCTTGTCTCTCCAGGACTTCCCATCCTTTGTAGCACTAAGCAATATCTGTCTTTTAGACATCCCTTCATTTATATCAATTTGCAAAAATTGTTGGTAGGTTATTCCTTCGTTGTTGTCCTTCTTGCCTCCCGTATGTTTTGTGAGTGCCAAAGCCGTCTTTCCTCTCTGCGTTCCTCGTGTTTTTGTTTTTTTTTTGTCTGATTCTAAGAGTTCCTTTTGTATCATTTCAAATTTGAACTGTACTTTTCAGAATCTAAGTAAAAACGTCCTTTTTCTTTCCATTTTTCCCAAAAAACTTCATCGTTGCTCAAATGTTCGATCGTATTCTCCGCATCTTTCTAAAAGAACCATATTTCTGTTTCTTCCACTCACGTCTTCATCTGTGAGGAAATTCTTCTGCATTCACTGCCATAGAAAAAGACTGATACGACATATTTCTTTTCTTTGATTCGAATGAAATTTTCCTGTCTCTTAATACTTCACTTAGCTTTGGTTCCCAAATAGATCAAGTTTTCCGAGCAGTTCAAATTAAGTAGTACTTTCATTTTCATTCATAACATAAATCATGTGCATGCAAAAAAAAAAAACAAAAACAAAAACAAAAAAAAAAAAAAAAAAACATGGAGGTATACCAATAAAAAAGTTAATAAGAATTGGTAATTCTTTATATAATAAATATTCAAAATAATATTACTACTTCT